CCACCTGAGGCGGCGCGGGGAGAGCTGCGCGCCGTGAGGGAGGAGAGAGAGGTGTGCCAAGGTACGGCCGATAGGCCTGGAGCTCAGCGGCATTCATAGCGAGAGGCCGCCATAGAATCATGGGATGGTTTGGGTTGGAAGGGACTTAAAGATCGTCTCGTTTCAGCCCCCTGCCATGGGCAAGGACACCTTTTACTCGACCGGGTTGCTCAGAGCCTCATCCAGCATTGAACCCCTTCAGGGATGTGGCATCCACAACACCACTGAGCAACCTGATCCAGAGCCTCACCTCTCTTACAGTAAAGGGTTTTCCCCTAATAGTCAGTCTAAACCTACTCTCTTTCCATTTGCACCCATTCCCTCTTTTCCCGTCACTACATGCTCTTGTAAATAGTCTTGGCCCAGGCTACAATTAGGTCATGCTGGAATCCTCACTCTTCCAGGCTGAACAATCCCAATCCTCTCAGCCTTTCCTCATAGGAGAGGTGCTTCATTCCTCTGAACACCTTGTTGGTCCTACTCTGGGTCACAACTGTTTGGTCCCAGAGCAGACATCCTGTCCCACGATGAGCCTGGCTCTTTGTTACGAGCTCCTGCTGTAGGCATTTCAGCACAGGTAATACAGGTGGTCAGAAGACTGTTACTAATAAAGATGAGAAATTTAATGACCTAGAAGTAAAACGAAACACTGTTCCCCCACAATTGCAGCAATCATTTATGTTTTGCTCAACAACAGAAGCAGAACGACACAAAATGTGAAGTTCCTGTTGCAGCAGGGAGAACCAGTGGCCCTGCAGACACACTTCAGTATGGAACATCCATGACTGCATGGAGCGGTGAGACCAAGTTTTCTGTGTTTTTCATGGCCAGGCTGCACACCTGAATTCCACAGGCTTGCACCAAGTCTCATGGGAAGCAGCCTCATGAATCCTGCTCACTGGCTCTTTTTCCCAGGGAGCACCTACTGGAAATTATTATTATTTTATTATCTAAATTGTTCCCAACAGAAGCCTGTCTAACCTGTTTTAAAACCTCCAGTGATAGATGCTTTCACGCCATTCCTCAGGCAGCCTCGTCCTGCATTTGTTATAAATATGGCTGGAGACAAGAAGCTAGATCTTCAGATCTTGTAGTTTTAGCCCCATACTATTTCTCTTGTTTCTTGAGGATATTGGCAAAAGATTTAATCCCTGAGGAGTATATAAAAAGATGCTGCTGAGCTGGAAGCTACCATGTATCTTCTTAGTGTTTATTAAAAAGAATAATTTGATTTTTTTTTTTTTCCTTACAGGCCACTTTGAACATACATCATTTATCCTGTTCTCTTCTGAACTATCTTCAGCTGGTTTTCTTTTTTTGGTAACATGATGTCCACGACTAGACCCCGCATTCACCCTGTGAGTCCTAAATCAATTGAGAAGGTTGTGTGATAGGCTGGAATTTGCATCTGTTTCTACATAACACAAACGTTTGCCTTATTTTTTTCTTTTTCAAGTGTCATATTGTGCTGCACCTGCAGGTCATGATCTGTTCCACCTCAGAGGCTTTTTCAAATTACTGCAGCCTAACCAGTCTTTTCCCATCTCAGATTTGTGCTGAAGAGTAATGACCTTTCTGAAGATATGCTAAACATCTCATCTCCAAGGCAGCAGATCCTCTCCTCCAAGCATCAGTACCAACTCCTTGAGTGGTGCTGGAGCAGTTGTTCATAGGCCTACACCATCAGCTGTGTCAGTGAAACAACTCAGTCTAACAAAAAACAAAGAGTGGGGGAGGGAAGGACAAAGACTTTCTTGTGCTCCTTTTTAATTCAGATAATTTTGTTGATCTGATTTACAGAGCAACCCTGCAAAACCAGTTTCTTGTGTATGAGGTCACTGAGCATCTCTTAATCAGGCTGTCTCTACTACCTTCTTCTCCTTCCTACACACCAGGATAATTTCCATCTGTGCTTACAACACTGTGGAACTCCTCTGAGCTACTTCGCTCTTACACTCAATTTTTTCTCTTCTGCCACCAATTGTCAAAGCAAAGTCTTCTTTGAGGACACTAGTTTTGGTCTCCCATTCTCTTTTTTCTCTTGCAAAAATTTTGAAAAAAGTTTGCAACAATAAACACTAGATAATTTCCCTCTAATTTGAAGTTAACAAATTTTTTTTCAGACTTTTAAAATTATTCAGTGACAAGAGGCTGTAATAAATCTGCAGATTTGCAGAGGGATCCTGCCGTAGCTTGCAGGGCTGGCTGGGATCCTCACCCTGCTTTCTTCATCCCTTTGCTTCAGATGTTTCTCTCTCTTGCCCACTCCTTCTCCACATTATTTCCCAGAAAACAAGGCAATTTATAAACCTAATTCTGACTCAACCATTTGTTAAGAATCAGGACTGCACAAGCCTCCTTGGACCATATGTATTTGATAAGACCTTCATTGTGTAGTTAGGCAGAGGCTTGGCAAGCACAAGCTTGCATGCAGTGCTGAGTGCCCTGTCTCCTCTTGATGACAGAAACATTACACCAAATTGGGCAGACCTACCCTGTTTATCAATCCACAACTCTGAAGATTTCACCTGCTCTTTCAATGTCAGCTGTGTTTCTCTAAAACACAGTGCTGGAGCAAGATAACTCATATAAATTGCAGCTTACACAAGAAAGAAATCAGGGTTTAAGAATTGCAGAAGGACAAGAAACAAGCAGAGGGCTATCAAAACATGTGGCAAACCTAGGGTTCTTTTTTTCCCTTTTTGTTTGCATAAAATATCACTCCGGTAGCTCAAAGTAATTTTTTTCTTGGGAGAGCTCTGTTTGGCAAGTTGAAGAATTCTGTATGCAGTTTCACCAGCTCTCTGAATAAAAAGAGAACAAAATTCTGAGTCTCTAAGCCGGTTTCCATTCCTGCCTTTGAACTAACAAGTAGGCAGGTAGGTTTCAAAACAACAAACATCAAGGTGATGTTAGGGCTCAGATTTTAAGTGGGAGACTTAAAGCTGACTTGACTAAAGGCAAAGGTTAACCCGTCTCTGTAGTTAGTATCACCAATGTAGGATTGCAAAAAATATTCTGTGGGAAAGCAGTGGGATGATTTACAGTTTTTCCTTGTCCAATAGGAAGACAAGAAATGTCAGATCTGCTGCCAAGTGCAGTTCTGCAAAGGAGATTCTGACCTGAATCAGCTTCAGAAACTCACCAAATAAAAAGATACTGCTGTTTCTATTAAAATTTTATTTCTCATATTTGAAGGTAGGGTTTTCTTCCCAGGTGTATCTGCATATAGATACTTCAGGATTTCAGTGCTTTAAAGCCTCCTTTAGCTAGATGGATTCAGTCTAAAACATCTTTAACTAGAGGTCCCTGCTGGTTTCTTTGGGATAGAAGAGCATGTGAGTGAAACACACAACACTCCCATGTATGCTTTGCTGTATCTTTTCAAATTCCTGAAATTAAATGGGCTTGCCTCCGTTTGCTAGCTTGTTCTGTTCCATCTGGAGCATCTGACAGAAGCTGAGGAATCTGCACCAGTATTTATAAAAGCACCCTAATGCATCTTCATTTCATGCAGCAGTTGTTCTAATAAACTCCTTTACATCAATATTTATATATTTCTTGGACACCAATATTTGTGGTAAAGTTTTTTTGTATTAATTTATAATTTTAGGGCACTTTTTGTTTACTAACCTGGAAATGCAGATGTTCTATTTTTGCTATTTTTAGTTAAAATAATACTAAGGTATCAGAGAGAGTGCAATATTATATCATTATACAATGCTCTATGAAGGCAGTTTTTTTAAACACAATTGTCATGTACCTCCAAGGATGAAATAAGATCGTTTTCTTGCATAATTGCAAAAGTTACTATGGAACATAAGAAAAATAGACCATAAGTGTAGGCAGAGGTGTTGGGAAATAAGGTTGATTAACAATGCATGGATAAATCACAGGGTATGAAGAGTTATGTGGGTGAGTATAAAAGGGATTTAGAAAAAGAAAAAGCAAAAAGGCAGGCATCTCTGTACCTACTACAGTTGCTACAGTTACTCACTACTTAGACTGTGAGAACAAGAGTTTCTGGAACAAAGCCCACAATTTTTAGTGCTATCTTATCCTTAATTTGTGCAGATTATTACTTTATAATCAAGAGGCAATTGGCTCCAAAATGCCAGCCCATACAAAACTTAAAAATTTGTAATAAACTGATCCATCTAGACTGGGACAAAAAAGAGGAGCTCGAACTAAAAACTGCAGACAAGCCAAGAGGCTTGCTACTTGTGGCAGTTCAGTAATGCTTTATTTATTTTACTTCAATTTTATTTTAAAATTGAAATGTCATCTAACCTTAAAAAAAAATAAAGAATCCCAACATTGAATCATAAAATCTTTTAGGTTGAAGAAGACCTTTAAGTTCACTGAATCCACACGTAAGTCTAACGTTGCCAAGTCCATCACTAAACCATGTCCCTAAGCACCAAATCTACATGTTTTCTAAATATCTCCAGGGATAGTGACTCCACCACTTCCCCCTGTAGCCTGTTCCAGTGCTTGGCCACTATTTCCATGAAGAAATTTTTTTCTAATATCAGTGTAAACCTCCCCTCCTGCAACTCCAAGCCATTTCCTTTCATCCTGTCACTTGTTTCCTGGGAGAAGAAGCCAATCCCCACCTGGCTACACCCTCCTTTCAGGGAGGTGTAGAGAGTGACAAGAGTCCGGGCCTTCTTTTCTCCAGGCTAAACAACCCCAGCTCCCTCAGCTGCTCATCATCAGACTTGTGCTCCAGACCCTTCACCAGCTCTGTTGCCCTTCTCTGGACACTCCAGCACTCCAATGTCCTTGCAGTGAGGGGCCCAGAACTGGACCTGGCAGTCGAGGTGTGGCCTCACCAGTGCTCAGTACTGGAGGAAAATCACTGCTCTGGTCCTCCTCCCTGCACTATTGCTCACAAAGCCAGAAAGCCATCAGCCTCCTTGGCCACCTGGGCACAAGTTGGCTCATGTTCAGGTCCTTTTCCACTGATCAGCTTTCCAGACACTCTCCCCCCAGCCTGTAGCACTGGATGTGGTTGTTGTTACCCAAGTGTGGGACCTTCTTGATCTGTATGTATGCATACATATATATATAATATGTATATTGTATACATACATATATTCAACCAAATATATATTTAGACAATTAATAATAATACTTTAACAAAGTTACTACTACCTATTTTTCTTATTTCTAAATTGGAGATTACAAAACAACAGATAGCAGCCAATAATACTTTTGGATTCCATCTTTTTATTTTTTAATAACTTCTGTGAACATTTCCATTCATACACAGCTCTAAACAATATCTTGAGAAAAGGAAATTAAGGCACCATTGACGCATAGAAGCACAACAGAGGTCAAAGCTTTTGATTTTCACTGGAGCTCAGGCTCTTCCTTCCATATTTACTGCAGTTACCACTTCTTACACTGAACTTGAAACACAGGTATGAAAAGACTGATAAAAGTATAATTTTGTAAGTTCAGGGAGACCAAACAAGACAATATAGAGGAAGAACACATTTTCTATGGTGAGACTAAGTAATAACTGGTGCTGCACTAGAATGATCTACAATAAAAGTATCCACACAGTAAATTAAGGAGTTAAATGTCAGACTTCTCTTGCTGAGGGCTCTGCAGTACCTCACAGCTCAATATTCATTTTGATGAAACAATTAAAGATTTTAAACTTTCTCCCATACCTGCACAGAAGTAATTTAAAGGCTGGTAAGAAACTAAAAGTGAAAATATTCAGAAAATGCAAGCTAATCTATATTAGAGAAGTTAAAACCTGGAATGCAAAAAGAAACAAGGATAAATGTTTTGCCCAGAGGATGATAAATGTGGGAGACATTAGCAATGTAGAGCATCAGACTGCATAGAAAGAAATAAAAAACCTGTGTCCATTTGAAACTTTCATTTAAAACACTGCATTCCAGTTCAGCCACTTTGTTACAAATTGAAGACAGTTGCATGAAAATCACCCAGGAAATAATGAATTTTCCAGGAACAGGATTGGAGACATCTTCCAGGAAAAAATTAAAATAATCCTGGGTTCACGGTATATATTGTAAAGTTTAAAATAGCTACAGGGGCATGATAACAGTTTGGAAATATCTGAGGATGGAACTTTTAGGGATGGAAGGTGAAAGTTGGAGCACAAGAAGAGGTGCCACCTGAGCAAATGTGGCTGACAGTGACAAGCACAACACATTCCTCACAGCAAGGGAGGTGTCGACAGGAGAACAGGTCCTGTGATTTGACAGGTGCCAGTGGACAGGATATCTGGAACTGACTGTGTAATTTTTGTGACAAAGCACCAGAATGTTAACTCTGAGGAAGCCTTATGCTGCAACAAGAGTAAGTGGATGGCTGGATAGATCCCCTGTTCTTTTCTGTCTGCAGTCTTCAGTGTTAGACTGAATTGTAAAATTCTCTAGCCACCTTTCCCTCAAGTATCTTGTGAATATAATACCTAACAGTCTAACAGTCCTTCAAATACACCTTGCATTTTACTTAAGCAAGGTCATTATAAAGGGAAAATGCCTGTATGCTCTAATTAGCTGAAACTGCTCACAGGTAAGAGCCTTCAGTTCCTCGATGTTATTTTCTGTACTCTACTGACTTTAGCTGCCTACAGAACTCCCTGGGGGCCAGTTCAATGCCTGGTCCCACACCCGGGTGCTTCTGTTCAGTACATCTGAATGGTCTGCCAGTGCTCATGCAGGGTATGCACAAGTACTTTTCTTCTCTCAGCTTAAACACTGACTGTTCACAGACAAAGAAGGACTATCAGATTATCCAGTTTACATACTGGCAAAAACATAACTGCTTCTTTTTTGTTACATTACAAATCACAGCTGAACTACACACATATAACTCTTTGTAAAGGGCTTGTAGCTATTTTTAGAGCGGTAATATATTCTATCTTCTGACCTCCAAAGACTTCTTTTTTTCTCAGTACTATCTTGAACTGCTCTGCTGGGAGGCCACCTATCCTGTTTCCTTTTGGTTAAGGATTAGGAAAGATGGTCCTTCATAAAACACTGCTCTTCATCCCAAAAAGTACAGCATCTCAGTGCAAATCTCCTTCTCTCATTCTGCAAGTAGAGCACACAGTTATTTCTTCTGTTCCTATAGCAGTTTAAAAACCTTTTTGCCATCATAACTGCCCTGAAGGCTACCCTCTCTGAATTTTGTTGCAAATGAATGGTCTGGGCTGCTTACAGAATTACTGGCAAAGGTATCAGCAAAAACAAGATACATATCTTATAAATGTATATGTACCATATAAATTTGCAAAAGCACTGTGAGATTTGATGGCAAGGTTTATTCTACCACAGCTACTCAGATAAAGCACACAAAGGAAAATCAGATTAGAACCAATTTTAAATGATTTATTCATAGACTGGGGATCCAAAAGTGTAAAGATAGAGAAGAGCAAAGATGCCAAAAGGCAAAGGGGCCCCTTTTGCTGATTCATGAGGTTCAGAGTAGACCCCCTTGCCAAACTTAGTGTCAAACTTGATCAATGGTTTGTGTCCAAGGAATGTAGCACAACCTAATCACTGACTAATTTAACACTTACGAAATGATCCAATAGGATTTGCTATAAGCACAACAGTAACTTAATTGCGAATCTAATTTAACTATGAAGGTGGAATGGGAACACTCCTAGTATGTTTGCTGCATGCAAATCAATTCACACATGTACACACACAGATACAAAGAAGATTGTACAAAGGTATACCTGTGAAAAACTCCCCCTGAGTTCAGTGAGGTACTCACATCCGATGCCTTTGCATCTCTCAACAGCTGAGCCTTGAGGAGGGGGCGGTATCAGCCCAGGCCCTGTCGTCAATGGTCCTCTGAGTTGTTGAGCTCTAGAGATGTCCCACTCAGAGGGAGATGTGGTGCAGCCCAGGGGATCTCAGGGGGTCTCACTTAGGGCTACTCTTTACAGGGCTGCAAGATGATTTACTCTGGTCATCAGTAAATTTCCACTGTGGCCACAATCCAGGCCGGTAGTTACTGGAATTTTCCTTGAGAAGTCTAATAATAATATTATTCCTCTTAGGCTGTTGCTCAAACAAAAATAAGTTTTCAAGGCTGTTTGTTAGAAAACAGAAGCTCGTTAGGCAACAGAAGTTGCTGGGAGCAGACAGTTTTTCTGATAAGCTCAGGGGGAGCTGACGGCCCACAAGCCAGTAATCAAGGCTGAGGCCTAAGGAGTGTCCCTGAGATTGTGAAGAAGCCAGAGAGGGCTAAAGGGCCAGATCTTGCACCACCACAATGCTACATCCTCAGGAATTATCAGAGATTGAAGGGCAGGGAGTTCCTGATAAGGTGAGAAGAAATGGTGCAGTGGTGGAGGTTTTTTTTATCCCTCCTGTTCCTGTGAAAGAAAGTGGGAGAAAAGAGCACACCATTCAGTTTTGTGCAGCTGTCTTTGTTCTGTGTGGATGTTTTGTGCAGCAAAATTGCTGCAGAGTTTAGGGAGTGAGAGCAGAATTTCCAACGGTGCTCTCAGCCATGGTACCCTGACAAGGTATTCCTATGCTGAAATAAGGGGGCTAAGCAACACTTCAAAGCTGATCCCTCTGTGTCTCCCATGTAGTTACTGCTCAGCAGCCCCTGACTGATCTTGGCACAGCACAGCTGCAACTGAATTTAGATCTGGTTGTAGTATGGACAAAGGCAAGGTGTATTCCATCTTCTCATAGCAAAGATTCTAATAGATCCCTATTGTCTGTAATGTTGGAATGGGGCACATTTTTCAAAATCTTCTGCTCACAAATAGATCTCATCAAGGAGGTTTTCTGAGAACTGCCACAAGGTTAACCAACAACTACATTTTGTTTGTTCTGTAGAAAGCAGAAGTTTTAATTTCAGACCACTGCCTTGCTTCACTACTGAGTTTGGTACTAAGCAGACAGTGCATGGAGCATTTACTGTGAGGATGGAAAGAACAAAACCACAGAACATAATGCAGAGACAGCAAATTCCCCTTGTTTTGTAGAACTGGCTGCTCAGCAGCATGAAGGGCCGGTAACTGAAATTTGAGAAATCCTAAAGAACAAAATGGTCATACAATGTGAGGAATATCTGCAGTGCAGCACTTTTTGGCGTGTTCTTGAGAGACCTGCAACACACCAGATAACTCTGCAAGGTCTGTCTAGAGCCCTGCTCTGGTTTGTGCCGGGACAGAGTCTTGCTTACCAACACAGAGAAAATTCTCTCCCACTTTTTTGAATTTCTGGGTTATCATCAAGTGTTTAACCTGGACTGAGAACCAGCTATTCAGCGTATTACTTGAATAATTTCTTATTTGTCATCTACTGAAGCTGGCTCAACTCATATGAAATAAGGAACTGACTTTATTAACCTTTTTCACTATGACTTGAACATATGTGGAGTGATAAGGGTAAAAGTCCACTGTCTGATCCTCTCTGACCTCCTCTGGGAGCACCTCCCCTCTAGCAGAGTGCCTAAGACTGTCCTAAGTGTTTTGGATGATTTTTTCAACTCATATCCATACTTTAGTCTTCTCCAGCAGAAAAAGCTCCTAAGGCCTGCCAGACAAACTTTATTACAGGTGTTTTTTAATAAGAATTCAGCTAACATGGCACAGCAGCAGATCCCAAGTCTGCCATGTGCTGACTCTTGCCTGAATGAGAGCAAAGGCCTCCACGTGAGCAGCGACTTCATGACATGGGGAGGACTGCTTGATGGCAGATAATACCCGATAACCTACATTGTTAAAGGTCTTTACTCCTTAATCCCTTCTTAGATAAACACTTTCCCAACAGCAGTTACAGTGACTCAACAGAGCCTTTCTGCTGTGTGAATGCAGTCGACTGCTCCTCTCAGAACGTCTCCAGCAGCGACACAAGCGCTGCACTCTCAGCTCCCAGCACTGGGGCAAGGAAAGATAAGGGCAATGTGTAAGGTGCAGCACATTGGTGACACCTACCTAATGTGCTGTGGGTAGGTGAGAGGGTTAGGTCAGGGGCAGAGGCCAAAGGTTGGGCTCTGGCTGAGGTGTGTTGCTCTGCCAGGAGAGTGTCTGAGGCAGGTACACTGGTTTGTAGGAGCAGGACGTGCAGCAGAAGGGTGTCAGTACACGGATCTGAGGTTCTAGTGAAGGGGAAGAAAGCACTAGCAGGGAACAGGCAGGCAGGAAGCGAAACAAAACTCTTCTGACCCATTTTTATGGTTTCAAAAAAGGTATTCTGGTAATATTTACCAGTGCTAACAAACAAATTAAAATTTGAGGTTTCCCTGCCCAGCTCAGTATTGATTTGCAAATTATCTGCAGTTGAAATCTCAGTGTACTTTTCATAATGCAGGCTACGTAGCTGCCCACACGGGGACTGTAAGTTAATCAGCTGGAGAGATCTATCAACAAAACACGCGGCAAGTGACAGGGTGAGCTGTAATAGCTCCTTACCAAGATCAGAAATTGTGTCTGGGCTCCCTCTAGTGAGATGTGTTGGTTTTCTACTCAGAGGTAGCTACGGGCTACCTATTCAACCTATTGATTGAAAAAGCTAAATTCGAACACAAATGCTTTCAAAACAAATAAACAGGCAAAGGATCTTTGTACCTGTACAGTAGCAGTTCTCGCCACTTCTGCTTCACAAAGCTAAGTTCTTCTTTTCAGAAGTTTCTAGAAAAGCTCAAAAGACCAAATGCAGTTTTAATGTTGATAGAGACAGATTGAAACCAAACAGTTTCCAAACCACTTGGAAAACAAAATCAACAAGGCTGTATAAATTCCTGCTGCAGGTAGGATAGATATTTTCTAAACGTGGAAGGGAGTGTGGTAGTGTGGTTTTGCCACAATGAATGCAAAACAGCTGTCAGAAATGTGGCTGGCATACAAATCAGTTCACTTGATAGTTTATGCAATAAGCAAATGGGTGCATCCCTAACTTTTTAAAAAATCAGACTAGTCAATTTTCTACATGACATGTGAAATCCAAGACACAGACGCTGTAAACCTAAAGAGGAGATTTTGCAGTTCATTAATTCCTCACAAACACCCCTCCCCCTCCTCACCCAGGATCTGGCATCCTCTCACTATAACATCCCATTTGCAAAGTTTGGAAAATATTTGAATTTGTTCAAATTTTACAGTAATTAAAAAAACCTAAAATAGAAAAAAAAATCTCATGGAATATGCAGCTTGAGACTTTTTTTGTTTTGGTTTTTTTTTTTCCTAATGTAATTTCTCTATCTTCCAGTTTAATTATTTCCTCCTGGAATGAGGAATGGAAGGGACGTTTTTGTATGCAACGAGCTTAAGCTACAGAGGAATATGGAACCCCTTGTCTTGGTTGTACTCTCTTGTCTAGGCACTACTGGCTGCTTCAGCAAACTGTGGGCACCAGCAATACTGTTCCCAGCTGCTGATATTCTCTGTCTTGTTATCATTTTTGCTATGCTCATGAGACTGCATTTTACTGCATCTTACTGCATCATTCAGCCACAACCACAGATGAGCTTCTGTTATATATATTCTTCCTTTTTCAAGGTACCTGTTTCACCAGAAAAACTCTTGTCTCCTGGATAAGTGCCACTAACAGCCTTTTACAGTCCTACCCTCTTCTGGGTGCAGCAGAGAAGTAGTTCCCTCATAGTTCCTGCCTTCCCACTGCCCTGCCTCGCTGAGAGCTCATTTCTGGAGTTCTCAAATCCAGACACACATTTGGAAGCAGGCAAGAGAGCAGCCATGATGTAATCAGTGCAGAATGAGAAGTTATCCCACCAGGATGAGTGAAAGCTGTAAAGTTAATTTGCCCAAGTGAGGAAGGGGACGAAGAAGAAGAAGAAGAACTGGAGCCTTGCATTCAGCATTACCAGGCATTTCCCTGCCCATCACATCAGGCTCACTAACAGGAGTTTGTTTTTGCAAAGGATGTCAAAGGGAAACACCTAAATGCTAGTAATAGTAGTGATAGTGATAGTGATAGTGATAGTAAACCACTGCACTGTCTACCCACACCTCCCAGGCTAGTGCACCATTTAATCACGCACTGAACATTGAAAAGGAAAATTTCCAAGCAATTGCTCTACCCTATCCTACAAATCCCAAGAGAGTAACAGCCCCACTGACAGCTGTGCTCAGTCACCAGCTCTACCTGCTGCATAATTCCAAAATGCAAAATTTCCTAAATTTACCTTAAGCTGAAATTACTAACACTGAATGCACAGTGATACTCAACAAAATATATAGCATGTGGAATGAAGGTAATTTGGAACACCGTGATCAGCTTTCATATTAGAGGAAGAATATAATGCTGAAACCATCTGGCCTGCGGCTATGAAAACACCAAAGAGACATAAAACCGAGTTAATGGCAGCATGCCAAGGTCTTGTTAAAAAACAGCACATCACTAAAACAAAGCAAGTGCTGATGTAGCACCAGCAAAGGCTCATTAATGAGCCTGGAGACAGAGTGCTCTTATATTTCATTACGCGCTTAACAGCCATACCTGCCTCTGCAGAAGAAAGGTAATTTCTAATGAACACTCTCTCATGTCCTTTAATGATTCTATACCAGTGGTAAATACTAAGAGCTCTGGTTGTTCTCCTTACTCCATATTTTTTACACAACACCCTGTAATTTGTTTTTTTTTTTTTTTATTACTAATCTTCTTTAGAGGAATAAATAACAAGATGCCTCAGGTGAAGCTGAAACTGAAACTGGGACATTTTAGCTTAAAAATAACTACAGGCCATGGATACTAAAGTACTATGTTCTGGGTGCTGGTATATAAGATATAAAGTTATTAGAGAGCATCTAAAGGAGGGCTGTGAAGATGATGATGGGCCCAGAGGGGAACCCATGAAAGGAGTGGCTGAGGGCACTTGGTCTGTTCAGCCTGGAGGAGACTGAGGACAGACCTCACTGCAGTGACAGCTTCCTCCTGGGGGGAAGAGAAGGAACAGGCACTGATCTCTTCTCTCTGGTGCCAATGACAGGACCTGAGGGAATTGCCTGAAGTTGTGTCAGGGCAGGTTTAGTTTGGATGTTAGAAAAGGTTCTTCACCCAGAGGGTGGCTGGGCACTGGAACAGGCTCCCCAGGGAAGTGGTCACAGCACCAGCCTGACAGAGTTCGATAAGCGCTTGGACAATGCTCTGAGGCACATGGGGTGACTCTTGGGGTGTCCTGTGCAGGGCCAGGAGCTGGACTGGATGACCCTGGTGGTTCCCTTCCAGTTCGGGTATTGCACGGCTCCCCCGTGGCAGGAGCCAGAGGATCCCGTCGGGACCAGCAGGTGGCAGCGCCCTGCTCTGCTCCCATCTCCAGGACCAGGACCGCAGAGAGGGGGGGTCGATCTGCTAGGATCGACAAGGAGGCAAGGAGAGACAGGAAAAACCCAAAGAAGGGTTGTAAGGGTGTAAAAGGTCCTATCTTTGAAGCGGCAGCCTGAAAAGTGCTTGCTGCACAGAGGTCAACATTTGTTTTGAAATAAAAATCTGGATGCTTGTTTGGGTTTGAGGTTTCTGCTTATCAGTATTCTCAGAGACTGAGACTAATTTTCTTTTTATGGGAATTCTCAATAATCTCTCAAATCATCAGGCCACACACTCCTTGTCTTCTCTCTCTTGCAGGGGCCGTGGAGAAGAGTGAAGGGATGAAAACGAAAATAGTTATTTCTGCCAAAAGTAAGGCTGGGGGTGTAAGCATAACTAGACTAAACATGAGGGGCACTCTTGTATCTGGCCTCTTACTTGAACAAGATTGTCTCTAGATTTCGCATCTGTCCTTCCTTCCAGTTCTTGGAAGCCATCAAGCTGTGCCCAGCACTCCCTCCTTCTGACTCCATCCTCCACTTGTGTTCTCTTCTAATTTTTGTCCTCTTTGCCTTATCTCTGATGCTGAAAGTGGCAAATGTGCAGACAGACCACAGACCACACCATCTCACGCTTACCTGCATGTTACTGACAGACAAGAAGGGAGAGGACATCTCCTCAGTTTGATGGGGCAACATGTCACCAAGAACTCATTTTGATTCTGCACAGATGTCTTCCAAAAATTGGAAGAGCAGTTTCTTGTGTGTAAATAAGAAGTCCTCTTTTGTGCGTGGTGTCTGTCTTCCCAAGGTCCTTCAGGTGGAGGATTTTTCAAGGACTTTGTGGTTAGAGCTGGTCACAAAACATCTTAAAAACCTCTTAATTTTTGCAATATCTCTTTTGCTGGATAAGAGGTTGACTTAACACTGGTCTATGGATATAAACAAGTAGTATCTGTGTACACTGTGATGGACAATAAATATTGACCCTGAAGTATTTGTATATAGTCTAGTGAAATTAAAGCTTTTTATATTTAAGTTATAGTTTCTAAGGCTTCAATCTTCTTAAAATATTGATTTCTCCATAGCCACAAGGGACAAAAGTTTTAAATTAAAAAATTCAGATTCTAGTAAGAATACACACGAATTAGCTGAGACTATAGAAATACTCTTGGACCTGGGATAAAACACAGGGGGTTGAAAACACAACACACAGAGGGAAGCCTTTACCTCTGATTATCAGTCTCCTAGAAACAACTGATTGCATAAAATGTCTGAAATCTCAGTTAACATATTGTGTAATCACCTAGCATCAGGTAAGGATTCTAGACTGAATGGAGGATACTACTGAACAAATTTTAGTAGGTAAGTAAGGCCCATGAAGAATTTCTGTCTCTTTCAAACCCAAAAACTGTGGCTGCAATGTTTTCAGTTTTATTCCCTCCCATTCCCCTGGGCCCTTTTGCTTTCTCCCAGGCTGGGCTAGTGTCACTCTTAAATACAGCTGCATCTCTCCCTCACCCACATAATTCCCTATGGCAGCTGGGAACAGAAGGGCAAGGACTCTGGTGGCTTTGGGAGGACACAAAGGTCTCCATGGACTGTTTCAACATCCATACTTAGAAGGGAAAACAGCAGAAACATTAATAGTGAGCATGTTATTACAGACTTCAGCTTTAATCATGGAGAAGTTCCAGGAATGTTGCTCTGCGGATCCTGCCACCCTAAAAACCTCATGGAGGCACTTTGGGAATTTGTCCAAGATTCCACCAAATTCCTGGCCAAGCAGCAATACCTTGGATCTGCATCGAAATTTAAAGCATAGTAAAAAAAAAAGAAAAAGAAAAAAAGGAAAAAAAACGTTGAACTTGCCGAACTTACCTTGAGTCCACTGGAAGTTATAATTACTAACAACTGCATTTTCCTTACGGACACCAGAGATTTATGTTGATTTATGTGTCCAGGAAATGAGTCATTCATTGATGGAACTGGGACAAATTCCCATTCTAGGTGGAACCAAAAAAAGTCATAGCCATCACCCTCACAGCTGCAACCTCTTGTCCAAGGTCAATTGGATCCAGCTCCTCCCCAAAACCTGTTAGAAGTGGGACAAATTGCCAAAAGGTTTTGAGAGAACTGATTGCTCCTCCCAGGACAACCAAAGAGAGAGCAAGCAAGCAAGAAACAATCACCTAGAGGGGATGGCAAGAATCACTCAGATAACCTGCTTTTTAACCTGCTTTTCTGTCTTCCACTTTTTAACAGGGTCACTCATTCTGCGCAGCGTAGCAGAACCAATTACACAACGTGTGTTTCAAACCTCTAATTACTGTGGCTGCTTCTGCCTTGATATTGCTGGAGGGAAACATCCGTGCAACGAAGCTGTGGTGTCCGTGACAGCTACATCATGTGCCATGATGGTCAAACTCTTGTGATAATGAATAGTCTAATTTTTCGTAACTGGAACTAGGTCAACAACAAATTAAATTACCCAGCCAGCATGAAAAAGATGAATTACTGGAAAATAAAAACCTGCCATTAAAACAGATTTCCAGTCTCTCTTGTTAAACTCAAAGAAAAAAAAGAGTAATTTCAAGACATTAGTGTCATGAAAAGGAATTAGGCAGTGGCGTGCTGCTTTCCCCCTTACTAAGTTCAGTGTTACAAGAACCAAAGAGATAAAACTTGTTACCGGGGTGGTAACATATAGAAACAACGGAAAAGTGTTACCAGCCAGCTATAGGTTTCTTTCAGTATGTCATTTATTGAAAAAAGATGAGATTGACAGCTTGAAATTAAATCATGGTGTCAAATCTTAACAATGAGATATTTTTCTCTTCTTTAGCATTAAAAAAAATAGTCAAGAGTGT